GAAATAATTTATTTTTGGTTTAATAATATAACATTTTATAAAGATAATAATTAAGTATTCTGTTAGAACTCAATGATTATCCTAATTATATTTTAATGTTTTTATATTTAAAACGGGATGTTTATCCTGTATTTGATTGTGTTTATCTGCAGTTAGTTACACGAATTCAGATATGGGATGAAATCGGATAAGGATGAAATCGTTTACGAATGAACGGGTTTCAGAGTTTTTAAGAGTTTTAGCCAAATGATTTATAAGAAAGTATAAATAAATTATTATACATATAAAAATATATTTTAATAATATTAAATTATTTATTATGTTATTAAAATAAAAGGACAGCAGCCAGAGGAATGTGGTGATGCATCGACTATTATATATTATTTTATATGAATATAAAATTAATTAGTTTTTATTTTTAAATAAAAATAAATTCCACTTATAAGATTTGGAAAAAGACGTGATCCATGTGCTTGACGAACTCGATAACTAGATCCATAAGTTGGTTGAAGTCGTTAGTTAGTGGAATGGCATTTTAGTCATTTTACCTTTTTCTTACAAAAAGTATGATTAGTGTTTAAAAAACAAAACCCTTTTTCATCTCCCTCTCCATGTCGTATCCTGTGAACCACTGCAGCCATTTGCAGGGGAGCCGGCAGTAATCCAAAAATATTAGGGTTTAAATTTTTTCTTAAAATATAATAATAGTTTAAAAGATATTTAATAAATTTAAAAAATTATAGTATATAATAAGAAACAAAAAGAATTTTCTAAAAATATATCAAAGAATTAAAATGAAGAAGAAAATAAAAATAATTAAATATGTTATTGTTTATTGTCTCTCTAATTTTTTTTATCTTCAACAAGATCCAATAATATTGGCTATTGTTATCTCTATATGTTTAACTGTTTTCGTGCTTCAATAATTCAACATTAAGATCATGTGTTTGTTATTGATATATATTTTTGTTGGATATTTTTATCAACTTCTGCTTCTATTGACTATTGCTATTTGGTTATCTTGTTCTAATTGTTTTGTTGACTATTCTTATCTATTTTTACTTCTACATTAAACAAGATTTTGTATGTTTAATTTATTATTTATTCTTACTGGATCTCAATAAAAATTGATCCTCATTTATCTACTTGTCTGAAAAACCTTGATAATCTTCTTTATTATTGATCTCTTATTGACCCTCACGATTACTTCATAGATGTGAATCCTTTTTTTGCATCAAAATAACACATATTTCTTGTTATGAACAAAAAAAAATTCTTATTTTTTATAAAAATTTATCAACCATAGTTTCTATACTCTTAGTTTCAAATTACCTAATAAAAAGTACGTAAATTTAAGTACTCTCTTATATATCTATAATAAAGATAAATAAGATTTCTTTACTCAGTAAATTATTAGCATTTCTTGTACTCAACTTTATATTAATGAAAACCATTCATCGAATTTTTTTTCGAACTTACCGAGGGTCACTACAAGCAGAGCTTTGACGATGCATCTTTTAGCGATGACATGTTTCCGCCACAAGTTATAGCGACGACATGTTGTTATTATATACTCTTTCTGATGATAAATGGACTTTTAGCGATGATAAAAGTCGTTGCTAAAAGCTTTGTTTCTTGCAGTGGACATTGTTTTTACGTTCGCTTAGGACCTATAAAATGTTAGATACAGGTCTGGCTATTGGTCATCCCTTCCTTCATCATCATTCATAGCCACTATAAGTATGATCCCAATATATAAAGCATGTGTACAAGTATGATCCCACCAGTGCCATGGTTCACCGCCATCGCCATGGTACAATTCATCCCCTCAGCCTCAGGTGACCAATTACAATGGTAATTCTTAAATTCCATTAAGTGAAAAACCCATGAATCAAAATCCACAATGATCATCCTACAAACTCAATTTCACCATCCACATTTAAGCCCAATATTTCATTCAGTAAAAAACCTGACATTACAATGCTCATTCTTCAACAACCCTCTCCAAATCTAGAATTATGCTTGGTTTCTAGGTTTTAACCAAAATCTGGCGTTGTAACTTCATCTTACTCTTTCATAAAAGTATATAAATGTAAAAATGTCATATTTTAGTCTCTCAAACTTCCACTTTACGTATTTGTTGGGAGAGTATTCTCAATAAGTGATGCGGATCAGTGGCTTATCACGGGTTGGAACACCAATAGTTAGTCTTCTTCTTGTTTTGCATTAGTGTCGTAGAATGGAGTCATTAGGCGCATTGTGGTAGGTACTTGTGAGGATTCATACAACGACCATTTGATCTTGGGCATATCTGTTGATCATCTCTCTCATTGATTTGATGATAATCCCTATTACCTTACTCGAAGTATTTATGTTTCTATCTTTTAAGTTCCAACGATCATCATGAGTATATTCAGTGATCGCTGAAGAATTTGTAATGTAAATCCAATCAGCGACAGTGATACTTCAAGAAGACAAAACTCACACCAAAGAACCTTCAGCAAAAGTCGAAGACTGAAAATGAAGATTTGAAACTGGCGAGTACGTGATCTGAAGCGGTATTCAGTGATTACAACCTTGTCTATATATGTGTGAAGATTGCCCAAACCTCAGCGAATGCTGAAGAGACCTTTAGGTTATTCCAGCATTCAGAGATCAAAAGAAGTTTGTTGAGCACGATTGTTTTTGTCTTGTCCTTAAACACACAAAAGATAAACCCATACCCTTTCTAAATGTTAGTACGGTACGGAGCCGATTAGTTGATTCTATTACCCACCAACTTTGTGAAAGGATGTGTTGGTCCCGTAAGGGTCTACAAGAATAGAAACAGTTTATAGAAGGGGGGGAGGATGAATACAAACACAGTATTTTCAAAATTTAAAATATATATTGATAGAGAAGATCAATACAGATTTTACAAGACTGTTTGCGGAAAGATAAGGTA